CCCCAACTCTCTCAGCCTGTTCTCACAGGGGAGCTGCTCCAGCCCTGATCAGATGTCCTAGATTTTATCTTCAAGGGTGATCTGCAGGTTAGTTGTAGGTTGATCACTTTGTTGTGCTTGCTGACAGAAAGCATCACTGTCTCAGAGCTTGTATGAGTTCAGTCTCCCAGCAGTTCTTCTGTGATTGTGGAACAGGAAACTGCTCTATGCCTTTGCTCTGTTGCATTATTATCCAGGGTGCTCAAGAAGATTTAATTGGATAGGGGCCTGTGATTTTTCTCGAACGAGGAGATCCATTGGCTGCATTGGATTGTAGAATTTTTAACCACGTGAAAAATAGAAGTGATCAAGTAATCCTGTTTACTTGTTATCGTATTAAATGCTAGTTGAATAAAAAGATGCTTATGAGCTGAAAATCAGTGCTGCTTTGCCTTTTTTCTCTGATGTCTCTAACAACATACTGTTTGGTGGCCCTCCTTTGAACATAAAGTGCCGTAGTCTCGCTGTAGTGCTTCAGTCCTACAAGTTATAAAAGTTACTGTTTGGAATCTCTTTATTCTTCGTGCCTGAAGATTTCTACAGGAATAGGAAATCCATAAATTATAGGGAATACTAACTGAAATTTGGAAAATGGAGGAGAATTTGTGGGTCTTCCTTCCTTGCTGCATATCCTGCTCCTTCAGTGTGTTGGTGCTGCAAGTGTCAACACTGACTTGACTTCTGCTATTAAAATTGGAAAAAATATCTCCATTAATGTTTTCTCCCTTCACACTTCCCAGCTCCACTCCCTCCACCTCAAATATCTGTAGACTACTGTAAGAAAATTAGTGTATGTTACAGATGGAGGAATGAGGCAATACTGAATAACAGTCCAAACTTAAATATGGAGAGGGTGCCACCAACAGTCAGTAGAAGAAAGTGAAATAGAGTTGTAAGTAGCTCTGAAATTGTTTTATCTGTCAGAGATAAAAGTTAAGAATGCTTAATGGCTCAGTTTCTTTTTTGTAAGTATGAAATGTTAATTGTTTCTTTTTTCCCCTCTAGGTGAAACAATTGCACAGCTTACGGACGTGGCAAGCTTGGATCATCCAGAATCCGATAGCCACATAACAATCTTTACAGACAAAACGGGTGTGGTAAAAGCTGCGAGGTTGTTGCTTTCTTCGGTCACAAAGGTGCTGGTGTTAGCAGACAGAATTGTTATTAAGCAAATTATCACTTCCAGAAACAAGGTATTTGTAGCTGCTTTTTTGTTTTGTTTAACTGATACCTGCAGTCAATGCAAAAGAGCGGTGGTAAATGAAGTGGTATTTTCATTGTATCTCTAGGGGAAGCGCAAAACAAAGAGGTAAAAACGAATGTCTTGCGCCTGATCACCTACCAGATATCTGAAAGGGGATGGCTGTAAGTCAGGAGGAATAAACCAACAATTTTCAGTGGCTTTTTACATTCTGACCTATATTGCTCTATTGACTTAATATGCTGGAGAAGATGCTGTGCTACTGCTTATTTAACTTTTAAGTTTGCTGCGAGGTGGAAGTGTGTCTGTCAGTAAAATGGCCAATAAAAGCTTCTACTTGCTAAGGACAGGATGTTTGTTCTGTCAGGGTCAAGAAGAGGAGAGCATTATGCATGTGTCTAAGGCAAAAAGCTGTGAGGAATGCTGATAAACGTGTGTGCTAGTGAATGAGGTTTACAAATTAAAAGCTTGTTGTGCGGTTTAACTTCTGTCTTGAAACTTGGCTTGGAACTATTTACTTGATTTTAAATAATGTTTGAAGGCCCATTGAGCCTCAAATGTGATATATTTCATGTACTGCACTGTTGTGCCTATAGGTTAGTCCTTTTTTTTCCTCTCTGATATGCTAAAACAAAAATGGAAAAACTTCGTATTTGAAAAATGAGAGCCTGATAGGGCCTGAGTTTTTCCATTAATTTTCAACTCTTAATCCAGAGCAGTGCCCCTCTTTCCTCTCTTGAGTGCTCATGCTATCCCTCTTCCTTTGTCCCAGTTTGCTTTCCAGACACGCTGGTCTCTACTTTGCTGCTTCTAGATCCAAGACACTTGAGTCCAGGATTCAAAAAGTACAGTAATACCTGCTTCAGTCTGGCTTTAGAGTTAGCAGCACTCATCTGCTGTCTTAATGCTCTTCTCCCAGTGGCTGATGAAGGTGGCAGCAGTTTTACCAATATTAACTTCCTGAAGTTACTTGCAGCTTTGGTCTTTCCTTGTGCTGGGGACCAGGATGGTGCATTTAGTACCTTTTGCTGCCTTTTGTGAGCTTTTCTTCTGCTCTGTCATCTGCAGCCATGCAGTGATCTGAATTAATTTACCTTTCAAAATGTGGCTGGTGATAACATGGATTTAGGCCACAGAGCAACTGTGCAAGTGCTCATATCATGAAGGGATAAGGAGGGATATATATCCTTTCAGCAGCAGGGCATGGTTTATGATAGTCTTAAATATAGATGAAACTACTGTCATATATACAGTGATATGAATATAGTAAGCATAAGTGCGAGTTTTAATTTTGAAGGTATTTAAAATGAAGTCTCATGTTCCAGAGTGTGTCTGACTGATTGCCATAGTCATCCTAGTCTCTGGTCTTTGGGGGTTTACTGCATTCTGCCTTCTGTGCATAGGCTACATGTGTTTGAGAATGTCTGTCTCCTGCTTATGGTGCCAGCAGAGCAATTCACATCTCTAGGACCAAAATAAACAAGTGATGGTGTCTTACACAGCTGTACCCTGATATTTACATAGTCCACTTCTGAAAAGTGTGTCAGACACTGATATGATGGGTAGCAAAGCAGCTCTTCTGTAAGAAATATTGTAGCAGAGGGATGATATGGCCAGGGACTTGAGAAGTGCACACAAATACTCAGAGACGGTGTAGTGTAAGGTGGTATAGAGGATGGAAAGGCAGGAACAGGATCATCAGTAGTGCCAGCTGGAGCAGGTGCTGGCTTCTTGGTGTGGGTCACTGTTGCAGAAGATCTTAGCTGTATCTTCATCTTAGAGACTGAATACCCAATATTAAACTTTTGGTGCCAGTTTTCTTGCTGCCTCTTTATGAACACCTTTGTTTTCATTGTTGTTGTCTTCCCCATATGAATCAAGAGTTAAGTCAACCAAGGGCAAAGGACAGAAAAACAGCACAGTGGTTGGACATCCAGTTTCACAGACTGGTGAAGTGATTGAGATCATCTGGAATGGTGATGTGCTCCAGAACCCAGCCTCTGGTGGTTGATCCAGAGAGCCTGTTTCTGCATCCTCTGTGTCCCGGTGTTCTTAGATTGTGTGCGTTTCTTAAATCCCTGCCCACGTCTTTCCTGCCTTACAAATTTTGTTTCCCTGTCCATCAGACTTAGGCACTGCACCAACGAGCTTAAAGTCTTGCTCCACTTAGTGTCATCAGTCAGGTTAGGAGTGTCAGAGCGATGAAGAGGGAGGTGACAGCGGGGGTGTTGCCGCACTGTGCGGATTGCATCAAAATACAGATGTGCCCTGAAGTGATGTCAGCCTACGACCGCCGTCTGAACAGCCACATTCATAGCGCAGCAGTAGCCGTGTAATACTAAGTTCTACTTTAGACATTAATAGGAACTTAAAGCCTTTTTTGATATGAATTTTTATCCTTGTTTTTAAAAATGTACATTCTAGTTGCTATCTATGTGCTTCATGTTGAAGAAAGCTTAAAATGAAAAGTTATGAAGACGGGTATTTTGCATGTTAACAGCTTCTCGAATAAGCTTTAGACAAATGTGGAGCTGTCTGTATGGTTTCTCCCTGTATGTAGTTTCTTGGAATATCAGCTCTGCCTGGAACGTCTAGGATTGTTATGTGTAATGGAAATGCATGTGCTTTCACTGGCATTTTTATTGGACAAGAGATTTGTCATGATGGAAACACTTGTTTTAGGGTAACTGTAACGGAGTTGCTTGCAACCAAGACCATACTCAGGAAGTACTGCACTTGCTTAAACCAAGAATGGTTGAGCATAATTACTATTCTTTTTTACCCCTTTGCAAAGAGAAGGTTGGATCTTAACTTACGTGTATGTTTTCTCCTTTCTCCCCATTCGCTTTTCTACATCCTTGCTTTCCCCGTCCTATGATTCTCTGCTGCTTCCAGTCTCATACTGCTGCCTTCCCATCTTCATCTTTGTGCAGCTTCCTTCCAAGTCCTTTGTACCCCAGCCTTGCTCGTGCAGCAACACCTGAAGCACAAAGGCTCCTGTTTCTGCAGCCTTTGTGGAACTGGCTGTGTGACATAAGAAGATACTCGGATGGATACTGCAGTCTAATATTGCATGACAGCAGTCAGTTCCACAGTACTCACAGGATTTAGTGGAACACTTGCTTTGCACAGGTTATAATGATGAGATTGAGCAGCTGCTCCATTACAAAAGAAGGGGTGCTTCTAGGAGGGTTTGCCTGGGTTGCAGGGAAAGGGTATTTTGTCATAATCGGGTATGTAGGCTGCTTTTTTAGTTGGAGGGGGAGTCATGTTTGACATAGGAAAGGAGAACTAAGTGGAAGTTTCTCCCTTTCAAGTACAGTTTGTTAAATTTTCATGCGGTATTTTATCTTCAGCCTGAAACTCACTAAAAAAACTGCTTAGACTTTCTTCCCGTCTGAAGACATTTAGTGGATTTGAAAGATGCTTTGGGATTAGCAACTGTACCTCTAACCTGAAAAACCCTAATGTTATAATCTGTTATACCTCCAATAAAATCTGTTATAAACCATATCGTTGTGACTT